AGCTCTGTAGCAGGGTGTCCGGGTGCAGCAGCAACGTTCCACCTTTGAAATGTACAAGAGTCCCTGCTGGGCCTCTTGTACATTTCAAGGCGGAAGCACCTGCGTGGAGCCTGGGGTCAGCAGGGACTCACTGCTCACTCCAGACTCCATGCGGGATTTCAATCTTTGAAATGCACAAGAACCCCCACTGGGGCGCTCATACATTTCAAAGGCGGAAAACTGCATAGCACTTCTGCCTCTGAAATGTAGCAATAGCCAGACAGCTCTTGCTATATTTCAAAGCAGAAGCGCCCTTATTGACTAATCATATAGTTGATGGAAATCCCATCAACTATTCAATTAGTTGATTAATCTCATTTTAACATCCCCAATGTAAATACATTAGCCTGAAGGAACTTAGGCTAGCATTGTGAAATTTGTATGCATAGTCTGATTACCTGGAAGAGGTACAGGTGCGGAAACATGCTCAGAGAGGATGGAATCTAGAGAATTAGCCACTACATTTTAAGTCTGTTGAGCAAGTCAAGACTGAGATTTTTTTTCAAACACTTAAAATTTGGTGAAATTTGGGCGGATTTTCACAGAAGTACAAAATGGCACATTTCTGATATGAAGGACACCCCCAGACACTAATCTGAAATCCTTACTCCAAAGCAGGAGAGCCCTGCTCCTCTCAAAGAAAGGGTCACCAGAATCTTTTTAAATAGACAAAACAGTGTATTTGTCTTTAGCCTTATTCTCAGAAAAGATTAGACTGTTTTGGCTGAGATTTTCCAAAACAAATCTGCCCAAGGTAGATCTCCAGCACATATAGGCCTCAGTAGTTTATAGTTTTGCAAAGTTATAAACAACTGAAAAAAGGATCTTACAGTGGAAAATATTGGGCAACCTTAACAATAGGCAGTGCTACCAATTCCACATATAATAATGAAAGAAAACCAACCCATAGCCTTGTCTAAACAAGAAAATATTAGGAATATACTATAAGTATTTGCTACCCTTGTCACACACCTTGTGTGGAAACATTAAATTGCTTGCATGGGTGCACAAGTGTTGCCAGCAATGTGGCAATTGGACTTGACTGGAAAAAGACTTACTGTCCTAGTATCCTGCATTGTGTCATATGCTGTTGTAGTAAAGTGCCTGTTTGGTTTTGGGAGTTTTTTGGGGGCGGTATTTTGTTTTGGCTGCAGTGCTATAACTAAGGATGTGAACTAGGCCTGGGCTCATTGGTTAATGTTTATGGTTACACGCAGCTCTTCCCACTCCATGCTGCTGCCTCTGTAGCACAGGGTAGGTGGGAGCATGCAGCTGCCAGTATGCACGGGGAGCCAGCTTTTAAGTCCTAGCTCTCTGCATGCACCAGCTCCCACAGAGCTGCCTCTCCCCACCCCCAAGTACACGTAAACATGTAACCATTGAAAATTTTACTTAATTAAACATATTTTAACATCCCTAGTTACATCTGTTCCTCCCTGCCTAGTTCCTTTCTGCTTCTGCAACCCCCTCACTGTCATTGAGTGCAATGTCACCTGTACTCATGTTGTACTATGTTGTTTTGAGCTACTGCTAATTTGATATATATGCATGTCGGCTTTCTGATTTATGAAGTGTAGTAGATATAATCTTAAGGCTTTTTAATTATGAACATAAATAATATATTTAAGCAATTTCAGTGCCATTTAATATTACAAAACATGCTATTTTATACTAATCCATATAGTGCACATTTTAAAACTAATTGACACTGATTTTCCAACATTGCTCTCCATTATTATTTCCTCAAGCTCCCGCTTTCCGGACCTGCTCTGGGAATTGTGGGATAGTTGCAATGCATTTGGAACAAGTGCTGTGTCTGGGCCTCATAAACAGATTTGTGTTAGCCACATGGCTACTGTTAATGAATTACACCAGTAGAACTCTTGAGTGTGATCTGGTGTCCATAATAGTGTAATTCATTAGCTATGATGAGGCAGTCTTTGTAAACACATAAACATGCAACAAAGAAATACAGATATCGATATGTTGTCATTTGTCCTAAATCTATATCTATACTATTATAAAAGGAGAGGCATCCGTCATACCGTCTGTCACAGAGAACATCTGAGAAGATTTGAGAAGTTTATAGGGGGAAGCAAGCCCCCAGCTCCACCTACAGCCCTGCCCCCTCTGCTGAGGCCCTGCGTGTAACCATGGGGAGGGGAGGAGGAGCAGCAATGTGCCAAGTGCATGCTCCCACCACCATGGGGAGGGGAAGATCACAGGCACGCATGCCCCAGCACTCCCGGAGCAACTGGGAAGGAAGAGGGAACATGGACCTAACCCCCACCCCCGGGAACAGCAGGGAGGGAGGAGGACACATGCACACACCCCAGACCAGGGAGGGGAAGAGCGCCCATGCCTCAGCATCCCCAGAGCAGCAGGGAGGGAAGAGGATGCATGGCACGAACCCTCCACCACCCCACCCCTGAGAGCAACTGGGAGGGAAGAGGCCCCCACAGCCCAAGCTGACCCAAGCCTCCCTGGTCAGGCGGTCGTGGGGCCTGAGCCAGCCCAAGCCTCCCCGCCCAGCAACAGCAGGGATCGTTCGTCTACCATCACAGTGGGATGACTAGTATAAATAAATAGTACATTTGAACATGTCAGCAATTGTCTAACATTTAGGAATAATCTGTATTCAATCTCCCCTTGTTGTAGTGAGCTACATTGTTAAACCAAGTTGTGGTTGATTTTGATAGATCTGCTCAGAAAATGTTCTTTAAATCTGCATATGCATTGTCATTCCCTGTGAAAAGAAATTGTTTAATTAGTCTTGTTGTAAGTGGTAAATTCTATCAAAAGGCTTCTGACGACTGAATTAAGGTACCAAACACTGTCTAACTTGTTCGTCAAAACCACCACAGTGATGGCCCAGTTACATTTATGGTTCTTAAATTAATCAGTGCTGAAAGAGCATCTGGGTAATTATCTTTATTTAAAATCAAAGGAAATTGCCTAACAAACAACTGAAACAACTTAACTCTTTAACTTGTTCTGTCTCGAGGGTAACAGAAAATAGTGTTTGCTATATATAGAGCTGCATACCAGACCCCTATACAGATAGTAAAACCAGCTGCATTTAATTGGATAAAATATTCACTTCCTTTGCATTCTCACAGCTGGAAAAGTGGAATGGGTAAGGCTATGTGGATGATCAGACAGAGCAGGGGGATGCACATCTTATTTCATCTAGACCATCTAAACTTCTCCTAAAAACAAAACCCCCACCATTTCTAGGTAGTCCCTTTTGGGAGTCTTAAGAGCAGAGCCTGTCAAGGGGGCCGCTGACAGAGCTGGTCTTAGGGGCAGGCCATTATCGCATTTCAGCCAGACCTCCCAAATCCTCCCCCCAGGGTTTGTTTGTTTGTTTGTTGGCCTGACAAATTTTTGTCCAGTATTTTTTTTACACCATCTGGCAAACCTAATAGCAAGCTGAGCAGTCGCCTGGAGCCACCAGTTAGTTAGGACCAGCTCTGCTTAAAAGCTTCCATAGAGTGGGACTAGTGTGGAGTCAGTAGGGAGTTGACACATTACAAAGGCAGCACTCAGGATCTGCCAGAGTTGGGGACAGACTGTGTACTCTTTTCTATGGGAGGGTAAACTGCTGTCCTTTGAGTAGATGGTGTGGGAAAATCTCTATAAAGAATTATGGAGAGTCTCAGTCCTCCAAAAAAAATCCTCCATGAAGCCCAGTGAAAAGCAAAAGGTGGTTTGTTTGTTTTTTAAGTTTAATGAGTTTTAATTAAAAATCTGTCCTGCTACAATATAGTGATGTAAAATGTGTAATACTGAAAGAAGTAACAACAAATACCTGTTGACATGCTTACTTTCTCTATTCATCATCATTCTTATTGTGTTTGTTTAGCATGGGCATTGTGGTCCTTCATGGGATAATGTAGTCTGAAAATTTTCTTCTATATTTCCTTGAAATTTATCTGCATCAGAAGGAATTGATGATCAGTCAGAGTACAGGCAGTCCCCGGGTTACGTACAAGATAGGGACTGTAGGTTTGTTCTTAAGTTGAATCTGTATGTAAGTCGGAACTGGCGTCCAGATTCAGCCGCTGCTGAAACCGATCAGTTTCAACAGTGGCTGAATCTGGACGCCAGTTCTGACTTACATACAGATTCAACTTAAGAACCCCAGGCATCCCCAAGTCAGCTGCTG